TTTAGGGTTTAGGGTTTTAGGCTGTAGGGTTCACCCTAAACCCTAAACAACCCGAAACCCTAAACCCTAAACCCCAAGGATTTAGGCGGTGGAGCTTAAGTTTAGGGTTGAGGGCTTAGGCTTTAGGGTTCGAGCTCGAGGTTTCGGCTGTAGCGTTTAGGGTTGAGGGCTTAGGCTTTCGGGTTGAGGCTTTAGGGTGAAGGGTTTAGGGATTAGAAGAAGGAGGATCTGCCTTCAGGGATTTGGGTTTTTGTGTCGCGTTCTGTAAGACTGATAAGGGCATAAGAGCTTATAAGTTTATGTGGTTTTGACCCCACTTTTTGCAGGGTTCCATACGGGCTGGCATTGGTTCTGCATGGGGATCGGGATGGTGGATGAGACGTTCAGGGGGCTTTAGGGGGGTTTGGGGTTTAGGGGTTTTGGGGTTTTGGGGTACCCTAAACCCTAAACCCTAAAACCTAAACCCTAAACTAGGGGTTCAGGGAGCTTAGGGGTTTAGGGTTTAGGGGTTCAGGGAGCTTCGGGGTTTGGAGTAGTGGGGCTCTGCCGTCGGGGTTTAGTCGTTCCTCGACGGCTCCTTTACGGTATCTATAAGGGCTTTGGGGCTTCTTCATCGTTAGTTTAGACTGGAAGGAGATTCTGGGCTGTTGATTGCTAAATGTAGTGACGCTTTCTCCTAAGCCCAAGCCCTACACCGGAAACCCTAAACCCTAAACCTATACCCTAAGCCCAAACCCTATACCCCATACCCTAAGCCCAAACCCTATACCCGAAACCCTAAACCCTAAACCCTAAAGCCCCTAAACCCTAGACTCAGACCCATTCTTGCTGTCCGCAGCTCTTCGGCCACAAAGGGACTCTGGATACCGAGCCTTGATCTGGGCCTCCGCAGCATCCACCTGTGAAGGTTTAGGTGTTTGATGTAGGGGTCTTACTAATTAGAATAAGGTTCTGGGGTCTATTATACTATAATTAGAATAACGAATTAGAAGAGGGTTCTGGGGTCTATTATACTATAATTAGAATAAGGCGCCGCCAAAATAGCGTAGGTAATTATGTCGGCCCCTACATTAGGGTTTAGGGTCTTGGCGTTCAGGGTTTCAGTTGCAGGCCTGGGAAACTTAAACCATTTTGGAGCGAAGCCGCACACGATAGAGTCAAACTGCCCGAAGACCGGTCACACCCCTCGCCTGGTAAGGATATATTATTGCAATCAGTATCTACTAGTCATAGGAACAGGGATGTCCTAAACCCTAAACCCCAAACCCTTACTAAACTTTTACTAAACCCTCTACCCATAGGCCCTAGAGTAGTTCCTTTTGGGGGTTCATATATAGAATCCTATAAGGTAACCCCAAAACGGAACTACTTTAGGGCCTATGGGTCCTAAACCCTAAACCCTAAACCCTAGACCCTAAACCCTAAACCCTAGACCCTAGACGCTAAACCCTAAACCCTAAACCCTAGACCCTAAACCCTAAACCCCAGACCCTAAACCCTAAACCCTGACGGCCCAAACAGTTCCCCCCGAAGGATCCTTGAAGAAACTTGCAGGAGCCTAAGCCCCTGGCTGAAGTGGCCTTGCCTTCCGAGTTCTCCTGAGACTGGCGGCTTCGAGTTTTTGGGTTTAAGCTTGAATTTGGCTTAAGGGTTTAGGGGTTTAGGGGGTTAGGGTTTAGGGTCTAAAAGTCTAAAATTTAAGGTTGAAGTGTGGGGTTTCGCGGGTTTTCGGGTTTGGGGTAGCAGGCTTGAGGTGTGAGGGCTTCAGGACTTAGCCTTTGAGGTTATTAAAGTTTCGGATTTAGGGGTTTACTTTACCCTAAACTCGGGTATCGAGCCCTGAACCCTTAACTTAAGGGTTTAGGGTTTAGGGTTTATTAAGCCCCAAACTCGAAATAGAAACCCTAAACCCTTCAGCGCTGAATTGGCGATCCTTGCACCAGCAGTTGTACTTGTCCATGAGCTCCTCCTCTTCTTTGGCCTCTGTGCTTCCAGGAGGGTTTAAAGGGTTTAGGCTTCGGGTTCAGGAAACTCTAATCCGGGTTTAGGATTGGTTCAGCGCTTTGTGTTTTTCGTGTAGGCGTTAGGTTCAGTGGGGCGTCCCAACACAACATGGCGAAACTATGTGCGAGTGGCGGCCTAGGATTCTGGAGGTTGATGAACTGAACTTAAGCTATGATCTACCTTGGGGTTTAGGATTTAGGGCTTTTCGGATTTTGGGGTCTCTTCAGAGTGTCTAGAGTGCTGGGGAGAGTCGGAAAGATAGCCGAGCGAGTTTGAGCGAATTCTGTGCAGGCCAACACCCGTTTACGTCCGCATGGAACCGTCAAAAAAACCCTGGAATCCTTGAAAAGCCCCTAAACCCTAAACCCTACAGCCCTTGCGAGCCCTTCTAGAACCCTATAAACCCTAAACCCTAAAGCCATGGCGGGCCCTTGTAACCCCATCAAAGCCCTGTCAAGACTCCAGAAACCCTACAGAGCCCTTGCAGAACACAAGTAAAGACTCGACCCCCCCCCCCCCTCCCAAAGCCAGTGAAACCTTTATCGAACCCCTATAAACACAGGTACAGAACCCAGAACCCTAGAAGCCCCTAAACCCTAAACTCTAAAGTGCACAACCGCTAGAGGGACCTGCCCTAAACCCTAAACCCTAAACCCTAAAACCTAAACCCTAAACCCTAAACCCTAAACCCTAAACCCTAAACCGTGGCTCCCTTAATGGCGCACCTCTGTCTCCAGCTGATCCTTCATTCCCTGCAGAAGGCCAAGCACCTGGCAAGAATGAAAAAGCTTCAGCGTCTAGGGTTTAGGGTTTAGGGTTTAGGGTTTAGGGTTTAGGGATTAGGGTTTAGGGTTTAGGGTTTAGGGTTTAGGGCTTAGGGGTGTGGTAACGTCATAGGTGCTCGCTGGTGTGTGCACACCCA